CGCTCCTCATGACCCAAGTAAGTACCTAGAGCCACCCCCCGCGGAGCCGGTGGGCGGGGCAGGAGCTGGTGTCTGTTCTCATGTGTCTCCTTTCCAGGCAAAGCAGCAGCGGCAGCAGATCCCAACGCAGCCTGGGCAGCGTACTACTCGCACTACTACCAGCAGCCACCTGGCCCCGTGCCCGGGCAGCCACCAGCTCCCACAGCGCCCCCGGTTCAGGGAGAGCCGCCGCAGCCACCCCCAGCCGGGCAGTCCGACTACACTAAAGCGTGGGAGGAGTATTACAAAAAACTAGGTAATGCCCTGGGCGGCCCAGGGGACTCGGTCTGCCTCTAGCGGGGTGGGGTGGCTTAGAGCCAATGCAGACACAGCCCCAGGTGAAGAGCGCTGTGCTGGATGGCAGCAGTGAATCGAGGGTCTTGGTCCAGCTCCTTGTGACCTCAGGACTGACATTAACTGGCCCTAGTGCAAAGGCTGAACATTGAGACTGAACTCCAGCCCTGAGCAAGAGGTACCTGCCTCTGAAGCAGACTGGCCTGGCCGCATATGTGGGCAGAGGGTTGTTCTAGTGACAGGCCATGGGCTGATTTCCCCAGCACTGAGCAGTCAGACCTGTTCTGAGAGGGAAAGTCACTGAGGGTCAGGTGGAGAAAGGGGTTCAGCAGCTTGTCTAGTTCAGGAGATGTAGGCCCGTGGGGCAGACCCAGCAAGTGAGCCGTGTGCCCTGCAGAATCCATGTGAACATCCCCAGTCTTCACCCCAACCAGAAATGCCACTTGGCAAAGCCAGTTCGTGTTGGTCTCAAACCCAGTGGGCAAAGGGGGCAGTAATACTGCCAGGCTCCTCCTCCCTCCCCAGCTGCTCATTCCCTCGCCCACCTGTCCGGGGTCCCTGATGCATGTGTCTCTGCCCACAGGCCAGCAGCCCCAGCAGCCTGGGGCACCCCCACAGCAGGACTACACGAAAGCCTGGGAGGAATATTATAAGAAACAAGGTGAGCGAGGCCTGGAGCGTGTGCATGCGTGTGTGTGAATCAGCAAGGAAAGTCCAGCTCCTGTCTGCTGACCATTGGAGACATATTGGGGGGTGGGGGTGGGAGCCCTGGGGGAGGGAGTCCAATGCCCCTGGAGTCACTGACTCACCCCCCTCTTCTCTCCCCTGCCCCATCGTAGCAGCTCAAGTGGCTACTGGTGGAGGACCAGGGGCACCACCGGGACCTCAGCCAGACTACAGCGCAGCCTGGGCAGAGTACTACAGACAGCAGGCTGCCTACTACGGACAGACACCAGGGGCTGGGGGCCCAGTGCCGCCACCAACACAGCAGGGACAGCAGGTGAGTGATCGGCCATGTGCCCCGCTGCCTGCCTTCAACCCCCAGCTGTAGCTCCCCCTGCCTGGGCGAGACCCTCGGTCCCACAGGAAGCGCTTCCTGAGCGGCATCTTTGTGCTCGTGCACCGGCTCCCACATCGGTCGTCGACGGGGATTCAACCCAGGACACCTCGACCTACAAGCCTGAGCTCCTACTGCTTGAGCTAAAGGACCCAGTCCATTAGCTGGAGGCAGTAGCAGACTCGTAAACCTCTTCTATGGATCCGCCACTAGGTGGCAACACAGACCCACGTTGTTAATGTGGATTTACGTTGATGCATAGACACCTGGGGGGTGGTCGGAGGAGATGGGAGCTCAGGGAAATGGACAGAACTGGTAAAAGATTCTCCAGTTTTCCCCTGGGCTCTTAGCTCTGGCTCATAGGTCCATTTTCAGGGGCTAGGACTTCTTCGTAGGGTTAGGGGTTGTCTTATCCATTGGGGATGTGGGGGGATCACTTTGTTAGCCCTGGTAGTTCAAGGGGATCGGTCTGTAGAGCTGTTGGAATATAGCGAGCTTCAAACCAGGGAAACTCCTTCAAAGAGAACCTGGGTGCAGATTCCTACATTTCTGACCAGCTTCTCCTCCGTAAGGTGAGAGCACGCTCGGCAGCGCTGACCTGAAAGGTGCTGTTCGCTGACCCAGGGAACTAGATTCGCTCCAGCCTCTAGCCTGTCCTGCTGCAGCTCTTGGGCTGTCAACCCTGCAGTGGGCCAGGCTTAGTGGTTACATTCTAGGGCCACGTTTTTCAGAAACAGAAGCCTAAAAATCAGGTTTCAGCTACATTTAGGCACCTGACTAAGTGACTTTTTTTCCAGCAGCACCTGGAGACTTCACTTGGTCTTGCTAGGGGCTCCGTGCCACTTACTTAGCTGCCTAAATATGCCGAATTTCAAGCAGCCCCCTTTAGAAATGCTTTCCCCAGGCCAAGACTTTCATCTGATCTTCAGGACTGACCAAAGCTGCTGCTTCCGAAACCTAGATTCTCTTCCAGACTTGACCTGCCAATTTCCTTTTCAAACACCCTGCTTCAGTGGTGGGATTTCCTAGTGTGCAGGGGAGTTGGGAGCCGAGGCCAGTTTTCGCTCCACTCCAACTTGGCAGCACATTGCCAGTGCTGTTGCAGCAGAGGGCGGCCCTGTGTTGCTTTCGGACTCTTCCGTCCGTAGCGGTGTCTGTCAGGGGTAACTGACTCCTGTCTCTCTCCCCGATCCTTGCAGGCTCAGTGAATTGAATGTGAACTTCCCACCTGTGAAACCCTTTTTGTTTTTGGAAAGAGATGGCCGCTGTTGGGGAAGGGAGCTGGGTCTGATTGCTGGGTTTCTTAGCGGAACCTCAGCTGCTCCTCCTTCAAGTCCTTTAAAATAAAATAAAATAAAAATAAAAATATCTGAATCCTTCATGTTGAGCCAGCTGTAGAAGATAGTGAACTAAAACTGCTGCAAGAACTCAGCCCTCCTGAAACACACGTCGATTTCAGGGTAACATGTTTTTTCTTTTCGTTTTGTTTTTAAAAAAAAATTAAAAAACTTTACAAGGAGAAAAAAAAATCACTCTGCTTTTTAGTTAGAGTTGGAACATTCCTCGAATAAGGTGTCGGTGTTTCAGATAAAACAACCCCTTTCCCCCTCCCATTTTCCCACAATTGGGACTGGTCTGTCATGTATTTCGTCTGTTCAAGAGGAGACTGAAACAAACAATTGTACGCTCAGTTTTTACTTTTTACCGCTTGTTTTTAACTTCACAAATAAATGATAACAAAACCTCCCTGTGTCTGCTGGGTGGCGTCTGTCTGTCCATAGGGTTTTGAAGCGGATTGTTCTCATGATATAGCTGTTGTAAAACCTGATGAACTAAGAGCTCCTGTGGTTTTTTTATAGTTTGAGCAGGCAATTGTGCTTTGTTAAATAAAATGCTCTTTTTGTTTTGAAACCAACTCTGCTGCACTATTTCCGAACCGAGCAACTGGCGATAAGGTATGCCCCCGGATACTGCTTGTTAGGAGGGGCTTTATGCCACTGCCCCTCAGCGGCATATCTGGCCTGGTGAGCTGAGGTTACCCATGTGGGGTAAGGAATTGCTTCTCTTGACAGTTGAGGAGCAAGTGGAGCTGTGCTCGGCCCATTCAATACCTCCGGTCTTTTGCTGAGCAATCCCAAGGGACTGTAATTTCACTGATACCTAGGCAAGTCCATTCCCACTGTAAGGCCTTAGCTGGCCCTGTCTCTGTAGTACCTGAATGCCTCCTACTCATCCATGTTTGTCCCTGCACCCCCCTGGACGGCAGGGCAGAGCTCTGATCCCCACTGGACAGATGAAGAACTGGAGGCCCAGACTGTGACTTGCCCAGATTCCTCTGGGGTCAGACCTTACACCTGGTTTCCCCAGTCCTAGGCTGATGCCCTAAGCACTGAACTCTCCTCTGCTTATGGACAGATGAGCCTCCCTCAGCTTGGCCTCTCCAGCTGGGGCAGGAGGTTGTCCAAGCAGATGTGGGGGACCTGGTACTTCCCCCAACTCGCTCTGGAGGGTGCGGGTAAGATGCTTCTCCCATACAGCGAGTGCAGGCTATCAGAAAGCACCTTTGGAAAGGTTCTTCCCTATCCACCTGCTGGACACCCCCTGGCTTGGGGTGATGCAGGGGGAAGCCTTCCCTGGAACCGCTTCCTGTGCTAGCCTGCTGTTCTGCCCTGAGCTGCCCGGGCAGCTGAGGGCAGAGCTTGGCACAAAGCTCACTTTCAGATGACGGGTGTGGGGCTGACCTCTAGAAAAGCTGGTGCCCAGCTGGAGCTCTCTTCACTCATGTGTAGCTGAGCTTGAACTCATGTATTGAAAAAACAAAAGGACTTTTGGTGGTAAACTCAGTGTTTTGATGGATGTGGTCTTGTCTTGGCTGCTACTTGTCCCCTCAGAAGAACCCTCCCCATGCTCCAGCCTGGCTGTCTTGTCACAGCCGTTCTCCTTTCATGCAGTCCTGCTCCCCGAAGGGGGGGCTGATTTGGAATTGCGTAGGTCTGATTCGGGGGGGTGCCGTAAAAGGTTCCTGCAGCTACTGCCCTGATGAGTAGGGAGTTAAGGGTTAGGCCAGGAGGCTGGTGAGCTAATTGGCTGCTCCAGAAGGCAGAGCAGGGAATTTTGCCCTGCAATATCTGCCTAACTCAAAGCAGCCAGTGTGGTGGAGCTGTGGCCATCTCCCCTCCGCTGGGACCTGGGCGTTTGCTCTTTGCCATAGGCTTCACCCACCTTGCCTGGCTCCCTTGCATGTGTCAAATACTTTCTGTGTCCGCAAGCCCCTGGATCCCTGCTGGCCGTTTCTGTGCACCTGGGCCACTGCCTCGCTAGCTCTGAGGTACCTTGGCTGCTGGTATAACTAGCTCCAGCAGCATGATGCTGCCTCTGAGGGGGGAGGCGAAGGGCCCGGACTGGGAAAGGGCCCTGGATCATCCACATAAGCATGTGGTGTCAGCTCTGGGCCACCAGCTGGCACTCATAAGCCCCATATGATGGGGCAGGCGCTGAGGGACGTCTCTGCGTAGGGCAAGCGTAGGACCAGGGCCAGAAGCTGAGCCTTTATTTGAACACAGCGCCAGCTACGGGGTGGCCCCAGGCAGGGCAGCAGCAGGCCCGTGGCCTAAACGAGGCTGTCGATGACGAAGCAGCACTTTGTGTAGATGGCGTCTTCCGGCTCCTCGCCTAGAATCTGCAGGACACAACAGAGCAGCTGGGCTGGAGCCGCACCTGCCATGGGCCCTGCAGGCACCTGGCTCTAGTTCCCTCCCGCTGGGCCTCACTGAGCGCCTGGCATTAGTACCCACCCCCTGGGAAACCCTTGGGTGTCCCTGTGCTTGGGGGGGGGAATGCAGCCCTAGGCCCTGCTCAAAACCACTGAGCTTTTGTGCAGCCCAGGCCCATTCTCTCCCACCCCCAGTGCTGTGGGCAGGGGGGCTCCAGCTGCCACCGAGTTCCTCCTCCCCTCTCGAGCCCAAGGGGCCTGCCCACTGGCTCAGCCCCTGGATGATGTTTCCATGCGCCTGGTGAGTGGTACCCACGATCCTGCTAACCCAGGAGGGCCCACCCGGGCAGCCTGCAATGGGCTCCGCTGGGCTGTGAGGGGAGAAGGAAAGGGGAGGGGTTAATGCCCAGGAAGTCTCTTGTGATGCCCCCCCTACGTTTCTGAGCAGGTTCTGCTGCTGGTAGTAGCTGATGACGGGCTCGCACAGTGAGTAGTGAGTCTCCAGCCGCTGGCGGATACAGGCCTCGTGGTCGTCGGCCCGATGGCCGGTCTGGCCCCGCAGCAGCAGCCGCTGGATCATGGTCTCTGTCGAGCAGTCCAAGACGATCACGATGTTGGGAGGACGCCCCACCTGCGGCATGGTAAACCCCCGCTCAGGGGCGCAGCACCACCCTGGCCGACTGCCCCCTGGCCAGCCACCAAGGGGTGGGGTGCAGCAGCCCCAGGGCCAGCTGAGAAATGGGCACCAGGCCGTTCCTGCGCAAGGCGAGAGGATGGGGGGGGGGCCGACGCCCTGGAGCAGGGGGAGCCGGGCCGTGACTGAGCCCTGCTGGGTCTGAGTTCGGGAAGGGGGAAGAATGGCCGCAGCTCCAGCATGCGCTCAGCCCCTCTGAATGCCTCACGCTGCCTCCCTCCTCTACCTCCTGGCTATCAGCACGGCGCCTGCCCCCCGCCCTGGCCAGGGGCCTGCTGGTCCTTCCTCCCCTGCGGCGCTTACCACACGCTCGAAGTCCTTGGCCTGCTTGAGCTCCCGGGGGAAGCCATTGACCAGGAAGCCCTTCGCCTCCTCTCTCTGCAGCAGGTTGTCGTTCAGCAGGTCAAGGATGAAGCCCTAGGGAGACAGAAGCCCCCTCAGCGCTAAGGAAGAAGGGCTTTGTCCGGAGCCACCCCTGGTTGCGTGAGCAAGTGCCCCACGTCCCCTTGCCCACAAGACTAAGGCACAGCCCCACCGCCCCACACAGCTCCTGGCCTCTCCCTTGGGCCGGCTAGTGGGGCGGTGGGGCTGGATCCAGACTGGGAAAGGGGGTGTGAGAGGGATGAGCAGGGCAGGGAGCAGCAGAGGGGGAGCCAGGGCGGTGGCAGAGCTGGCAGGCTGGTGCTTGCAGAGGGTGGCTCTTTTGCAGCCTTGGAACATTACTTGGGGCCCTTAGGAAGTGCCAGGCACGGAGCTGACTGGGGGGATCATTCCCCCAGGGAAGCTGGGGCTGCTGCAATCCGCGAGGGAAGTGGGGTGGGGGAGCCTCACTGAAGGCACGAGCGCTCCTTTCATCAGGATGTCCTTGATTTGTCGCCCCTGGCGCGTGGGCTGGCTGGCTTCCGCCCGCAGGAGGCTCCCGAGGCCCAGGTGCTGGAACTGGTACTTGGCAGCCAGCCTCTCACACTGTGTCCCTTTGCCACAGCCCGGGCCTCCTATCACGAAGATGATGACTTGCGACTTCAGCTTCTCTGTGGCGAGAGACAGAGATGGGGCAGGGAGAAGGGGTGAGACAAGGATCTCCCAAGGCGCATTGGACAGGCCTGATGCTGCTCAGTTTGATGAGATCCCAGCCCAGAGCGGGTTGGTTGTGAGCACAAAATAGGCACAAAAATTGCTGTAGCCCGATGGGGAAAATAAGCTAAGGAGAAGGGACCAGGAGGGCCTAGCACTGGGTGCTGAGTTAGATGGACCCCCGGTCCGGTCCAGTGCGGCAACTCCCCCATCTCAACCATGCAGTAGACATCAGCTCCTGAAAACCCTCGTTAACCCCCCCCACTAAATTGACAGCCCTCGACCCCCTAGGCAAGTATCCCACTCTTAACACCAATGTGCCTCAGTCCTGCCCTGGAGAGATCCCTCTTGTGGGAAGCTCGCTGTCCGTGGCCCACCTCCCACCCCCAAAAGGGGCCCATGAGCTGGTGGATTCTGGGCTGTCCCCATTAGGGACTAGAGTCACCGCGCTGGCTGTTGGGAGTCGCAGCCTGAGCCCCTCTGGTGTCAGTGCCCAGGAAGTGGCAATTGTCGAACCAGAAGCAGAGTTTGGGCCAAGGCCTTTCAGTCACTGCCAGCTGTTACCAAGCAGCCGTCTCGCGAGGACCTGCCCCCGTGAGCAAGGCCTCGGAGTCAGCCAGGGTTAAAGTGCCCACTGAGCTGTTTAGAAAAGCCAAGGGGCCTTGGTGTGAACCAGCCACCCCATAAATCGCAATCATCCCCTAGCGACATCTCTACTCTGTACGATGAGCAAGCAGCCGGGGCAGTTGTGGGCTATGTGATGCCCCTCAGACACCACAAAGGGCCAGATACGAACACAGATGGGCGAACCTGAGCTCTGTTCATTTCTAGCTGGGATAAATTGGTGGAAGAGCCGGGCCTGACCCTGTGGTAGCAGATGGGCTTAAACCTGCGTAGAGAGCCCTGAAAAAACCCAGCCCAGCCCAGTCGCTCCAGTGCAGGCAGATGCGACTGAGCGTTGTTCTTCCTCCAGAGGAATTTCGTGCTGTAAGAGGCGGGGGCTGGTAACTCCGGGGCCCGGCTTTCTGCATTTATCTCCAGAACTGAGACCGACTCGCTCTCCCTTATGCGGACACGCTGCGCTGCTGGCACTCGCTGCCATGTGCACACCCCCTTCCCGGGCACAGATGGACACACACGCTGCCACTCCACATGCATCCATCCCTGCCATGGTGGGACAAGAGAGCTGGGCCTCCATCCCCCAGAGGAGGCTGGTCCAGGCTTTGACTTTGATGGGATCGGTTGTTCTCTGGGATCAGGAAGAATCCCTTCTCCTCCCTCTGACTTTCTGCGCCAAGCAGGGAATGAGTTTTGACCATCACCCATGGGAGCTGGATTCCAGAGGGCGAGGCCGGACTGGTGGGTTTCACACCCCATGCTCCCTCCAAGCCAACATCTTGCTGCAGTAGGCGTGCTTCTGGATCAGGGTACACCCTGGACCAGCATCTTCCCCCTAAATCCCAGCCAAGCTAAAGTGCTGCTAGGAAATAGGCACTGTTTTCCACCGGGAGCCAACCACCCTTCTGTTGACCTGCTGGGGGAAGCAGGAGTTCCCGGAAGAGTCATACGGTAACAAGACAGGTTTCAGAGGAACAGCCGTGTTAGTCTGTATTCGCAAAAAGAAAAGGAGTTCTTGTGGCACCTTAGAGACTAACCAATTTATTTGAGCATGAGCTTTCGTGAGCTACAGCTCACTTCATCAGATGTATACCGTGGAAACTGCAGCAGACTTTATATACACACAGAGAATATGAAACAATACCTCCTCCCACCCCACTGTCCTGCTGGTAATAGCTTATCTAAAGTGATCAACAGGTGGGCCATTTCCAGCACAAATCCAGGTAAGGTAGCCTGTTTCCTCTTGTTTTTTCCTACCCCCCCCCCCCCCCCCAGATGTTCTGGTTTAACTTGGATTTAAACTTGGAGAGTGGTCAGTTTAGATGAGCTATTACCAGCAGGAGAGTGAGTTTGTGTGTGTATGGGGGTGGGGGGGATGTGAGAAAACCTGGATCTATGCAGGAAATAGCCCGACTTGATTATGTAAAGAGTTGTCACTTTGGATGGGCTAGCACCAGCAGGAGAGTGAATTTGTGTGGGGGGGTGGAGGGTGAGAAAACCTGGATTTGTGCTGGAAATGGCCCACCTGTTGATCACTTTAGATAAGCTATTACCAGCAGGACAGTGGGGTGGGAGGAGGTATTGTTTCATATTCTCTGTGTGTATATAAAGTCTGCTGCAGTTTCCACGGTATACATCTGATGAAGTGAGCTGTAGCTCACGAAAGCTCATGCTCAAATAAATTGGTTAGTCTCTAAGGTGCCACAAGAACTCCTTTTCTTTTTGGTAACAAGACAGCAAATTAAATCCTCCCTCATGGCCCAGCCTCTCCATTGCTTGGGTGGATTTGTCCCTTCCCATAAAGGCTATTTCCCAGCCTTCTTGCAGCTCTGACCACTAGACCCCCCTCCCCTCCCGGAGCTGGGAATGGAACCGAGAGTACTGGCTCCCTGGGCTCAAACCAGCAAGACAGACTCACCCATTCACACATTTTGATATCCCCTGAAAGCTCAGAAAGCCCCACCCCCGCCATGCCCCCAGAGCCAGCTTGCCATTTACCCTGCAGTTCAGGTTTCAGTGGCTTAGCAGTTTTAGGAAGCCGGGCCTGGCAGAGTCCCATCTTCCAGGGCACAAACCGATCCCCTCTTCACTCCCTTTCTGGGGGAGGGGCCCCAAGGTGCTGGCCTGGCCTGCAGCCCTCAAGCTCCCGTGTAAAACTAATCTGGCCATTTTAGCCCAGGCCCTGCTGCTTAGCCAGCCGGGCTTTCTGATGTCACAAGGCAGCCATGAGCTGGCCTGTCGCCGGGGCCAGGCTCAGCACTGGGATGCGATTCCAGTTGGTGCTGGAAGTGGGGGAGGCAGCGAGGAAGCCAGAGCACGTGGTCTCGTGACCAGAACGATAGAACCAGGACACCTGGGATCTCTCCCAGCTCCGCCACTTGCTGGGCCTCAGTTTCCCCCAGGGGAGCTAGTTCCCCAGCTCTGAGATCTCCAGATGGGAGATGCATTGAGGGCAGCCTGGCCAGGATCCAACGTAAGAGCAGCTGCATTACCCCCATCCCGCCCCGGGGTCAAGGGGCCCGTACCCCCCATCCCCCACCCCCGGGGCAAGAGGCACCATAGCCCCCCCCGGGATCAAGGGGCCCGTACCCCCCATCCCCCACCCCCGGGGCAAGAGGCACCATAGCCCCCCCGGGACAAGGGGCCCGTACCCCCCATCCCCCCACCCCGGGGCAAGAGGCACCATAGCCCCCCCGGGATCAAGGGGCCCGTACCCCCCATCCCCCACCCCCGGGGCAAGAGGCACCATAGCCCCCCCCCGGGCAAGGGGTCCCCCCCCATCCCCCACCCCGGGGCAAGAGGAACCATAGCCCCCCCGGGCTACCCCCCATCCCCCCACCCCCGGGGCAAGAGGCACCATAGCCCCCCCCCGGGTCAAGGGGCCCGTACCCCCCATCCCCCACCCCCGGGGCAAGAGGCACCATAGCCCCCCCCCCGGGCAAGGGGCCCGTACCCCCCATCCCCCACCCCCGGGGCAAGAGGAACCATAGCCCCCCCCCGGGCAAGGAGGCCCGTACCCCCCATCCCCCCACCCCCGGGGCAAGAGGCACCATAGCCCCCCCCCGGGCAAGGGGCCCGTACCCCCCATCCCCCACCCCCGGGGCAAGAGGCACCATAGCCCCCCCCCCCGGGCAAGGGGCCCGTACCCCCCATCCCCCACCCCGGGGCAAGAGGCACCATAGCCCCCCCCCCGGGCAAGGGGCCCGTACCCCCCATCCCCCACCCCCGGGGCAAGAGGCACCATAGCCCCCCCCCGCAGCCCAAGCGGTGATAGCTGCCCCGCCCCGCCGTGGAGGTAACCCCGCCCCTTTTCCCTGAGGGGGCGGGGCACGGCCGTGCAGGTTCCCACGGCAACCATCGCGGCTGGCCTCTCTTCCGGTGCGAGGGGACTCCGGCTTCCGGTCATGCGCGGCGAGCGGCGCACGCGCAGGCAGCCGCTCCGTCATTGGCGTGGAGCGGAGCAGCGGGGCCGGCGGAGAGGGCGCGAGCCGGGGGCGGGGTAAGGGTCACTGCGGGCGGCTGGGGGAGGGGGTGTGGGTCGGTGGGGCTGGGGTGAGGGTCACTGGGGAGGGGGTAAGGGTCAGTGGGGGAGGGGAGGGGGTGTGGGTCAGTAGGGCTGGGGTGAGGGTCACGGGGAGGGGGTAAGGGTCAGTGAGGGAGGGGGCTGGGGTGAGGGTCACTGGGGAGGGGGTAAGGGTCAGTGAGGGAGGGGGCTGGGGTGAGGGTCAAGGGGTGGGGGAGGTGGGAGGGGATAAGGGTCAGTGGGGGGAGGGGGTAAGGGTCAGTGGGGGTGGGAGAGGAGGGAGGGGGTATGGGTCAGTAGGGGTGGGGGAGGGGGCTGGGGTGAGGGTCACTGGGGAGGGGGTAAGGGTCAGTGGGGGAGGGGGCTGAGGGAAGGGTCACTAGGGGTGGGGGAGGGGGGGGGGCTGGGGTAGGGTCACTGGGGAGGGGGTGGGGGGGGGGGGGAGGGGGTGGGGGGGGGGGGGAGGGTCAGTAGGGGTGGGGGAGGGGCTGGGGTGAGGGTCACTGGGGAGGGGGTAAGGGTCACTAGGGGTGGGAGGGGGTAAGGGTCAGTGGGGGAGGGGGCTGGGGTAAGGGTCACTAGGGGTGGGGGAGGGAGGGGGTAAGGGGCACTGAGGGTAGGGGGTTGGTGAGGATGGTTGGCAGGCACTGGGAGGGGCTCTGAGTGGAGCGTGAAGTCTGGGGCAGGGCTTGGAAGGAAGCACCGTGAGGGAGGGCTGGGCCGGGGAAGGCCGACTCACCTGTGGAACTGGTCACACAAGACACTGGTTCAACAGTGTATCTTGGATTTATATCTTTGTCCAATATCATTCCCAGCACTGACCAGCAGACCCCACTCTGCTCCCAGTGCTGGGAACAGGACCCAGGAGTCCTGGCTCCCAGCCCCCTGCTCTAGCACGGCTTCTCCAGCAGAGTTTCTGACCATCTTATCCCCACACTTCCCCATGTATGTCAGCTTCTCCTTGCCTCTGCCCCTTTTAGGATTTTGGATTCTCCTGGCTCCCCCTCCCAGCCCCACAAAGGTAGTCCTACCAGTGCTTGCTCTGCTAAGAAGCCCTGACTTTTTGTTTCTCTCTTAGATCCTTTCCTGGAAGCCCGGGTGGACGCGCAGCCCTATCTCTGCCAAAATGACCTCCCTGGTAAGTTCTCAGTTTCCCAAACTTGGAGCCATCATAGGTTTGGGAAATACGCCCCAGGCCTAGACTGATACGCCCATCTAGTTTGGTATCCAGTCTTCAAGTGACTTGTCCTGAGTGCCTCAGAAGAAGCTGCTAACCCCTCATCGCCTGCCAGCTCTCCTCTTATGTGAAAATCCCTTCCTGACCCCAGCTAATGCCCTGAAGCAAGAGGACAGAGAACCCTTGTTAATTTTTCCCCAGCTAGCCTGGCTGCTATTCTTATAGCCATTTCATGTGTCGCCTGCTGTGATCTTGGGGTGGGGGCGGCTTCCTAACTAGCCCTTGGCTAACGCACACCTCTGAAATGAAACCTCAGTCTTTGTTCTCTCCCCAGGGCACGAGTAGCCAGTCGGTTACAGAGTATGTGGTGCGAGTACCCAAGTGAGTCCTCTCTGATTTCCCAGCCCTCTCTGCTTATGTGGCACCTTGCTGAAAGCTTACCTCCCTGGGGAAAACAGCAGAGATTGGGGAGTCCCTTGCATTGCTAGGTCAAATCAAACTCAGGTCACTGTTCTCTGGCAATGGATGAACCGAGTTGTAGGTCTCAGCCTGTCTCCCTGGCTGTCCAGCCTCTGTTTTGTTTGATCTAAACAGCAGGCTTATTGCTGGGCCTGGGGCCACGTATATTTGGCGTATTACAGTAACTCTCCAACTGAGATCAGGGCCCTTTGTCCCAGACCTTCCCGGCGTCTGCCCTGAAGAGCTTGCAGTTTAAATAGACAAAAGGGTGGGGAAGAGAAACTGAGCCATGGAGCAGGAATGTGGTTTGCCCACGGTCACCGAGTAGGGCAGGGCTGGGAATAGAGCCATGCTGCCTGTTGTATCGTATAAACTGCTGGCTCCTACTGGACCCTGTGGTGGGTTCAACACAGAGATGGGAGTCTGAATGGGACCTGGGGGCCAAACGCCCCAGGGAGGGTGGCTGGGCAGGGCTGAGGCACTTTGGCAGCAGGGGTTGGGTAGCTCTGGTGCCTGGGTGTGATTCGCTGCGTGGCTAGCGAGCGCTCAGCATCGTGCCAGGCTTGCAGCAGGGGGACAGCTCTCCTCAAGCTGGAGCCGCTGGCCACTCAGGTTTCTGCCCTCCTCTTGCTGCAGAAACACACCCAAGAAGTACAACATCATGGCCTTCAACGCTGCCGACAAGGTCAACTTCACCACCTGGCACCAGGTAGGGTGCTGCCATAGCTGTGCCCCCTAGCCCCACATAGCAAGGGCAGCCTGTCTGCTGCTTGGAGGCACTTCCAGGTGCCAGAGCTCCCTCTGTGCTGACAGCCTGGCCCCTCGAGCGGGGTGTTGGACTCTGGATGGATCAACAGTTGTGACTGCATCTGGCGCTGGGCCTGCCAGCAAGGCTAGAAATACTGGGCCCAGCATCCCCCATAATGCACTGGACCACAGGGCAGCGTCTTGCTCCCCCCCCCCACCCACCCATGCTGGGGAACACATCAGGGTCCATCTGGCCCCACCCCCTGCACCAATTGATCCCTGATACCGCAGACAGCGGCGAGTCCTCTCTCGGTGCCCCGGGTGCAGGGCTGTTCTCTGGGCCTGGCGAGGGATCCCAGGAGGTGACTTGGTTTCAGCCCTGAAGCCCAGCGTTCACTCTGGCTCTTAGCGTGCAGAGTTGTGGGCGGCCTGGACCGGGTCACTCCATGGCCATCGCTAGCTTGGCGCTGCAGGGAGCTGAGTGGGGGTACTGCCATGCAGCGCTGGGGGACTGGACACACAAGGTGACCAAGCAGGGGGGCTTTTCCCTCCCCAGGGCCGGGGAGGTGACGTTCTCCTTTGCTCCCTCTCCTAGGCAAAAATGGAGCGAGATCTCAGCAACAAGAAGATCTACCAGGAAGAGGAGATGCCAGAGTCGGGGGCTGGCAGCGAGTTCAACCGCAAGTTGCGCGAGGAGGCGCGCCGCAAGAAGTACGGCATTGTCCTCCGGGAGTTCAAGCCCGAGGACCAGCCCTGGATCCTCAAGGTCAACGGCAAAGCTGGGCGCAAGTGAGTGGGGGTCCCAGGGGCTGAACTGTGAGTGCTGGGTCCAAACACACAAGCCCCTCCAGTTTGCGCTCCAAGCCCCAGCTGTGTTGGCCAGCAGCCCCCTTTGGAGAGGGAGAGTTAGAGTGGCACTAACGCCATGCCACGGGGCACAGAAAGAACCCAGGAATCCTAGGTCGCTGTGTCCCTGCTCCGGCCACTAGACTCACTCCCTCTGAGCCAGGAGTGAAGACTAGGAGTCCTGCCTCCCTAGCCTCCTTGATTTAACTACTAGTTTCTGCTCCCTTCCCAGAGCCTGCAATAGAACCCAGGGTCCTGGCTTCCAGCCCCACCTGCTGGGCCATTCGGCCAGATCCCAGGTGCCCCCCTGAATCCAGCTCTCCCTTTCCCTCATGCCCAGGTTCAAAGGGGTGAAGAAGGGCGGCGTGACCGAGAACGCCTCCTACTACATCTTCACGCAGTGCCCCGACGGCGCCTTTGAGGCCTTCCCGGTCAGCAACTGGTACAACTTCACCCCTGTGGCCAAGCATCGCACCCTGACAGCCGAGGAGGCGGAGGAGGAGTGGGAGCGGTGAGTGAGGGCATGGGCTGCCCCTGCCCTGCTGTCACCAGGAGTCCTGCCACTCAGTGCTCTAACCTGCGGGACCCCCCTCTCCTCCCTACAAGGGGAATAGAACCCAGGAGTCCTGGCTGCCAGCTCCCCTGCTCTACCCACTAGACCCAAACCGAGATTGTTCCAGGGATTGGCTGACACAGGAAGGGCTGTGCTTCTGGCAGATTGGAGCTGGAGGACGGGCTGGGGGTGCAATGTCTGGGTATGGCCCGTGCTGCATCTGGGGCTCCTTGCGGCCTGCACGGCGTCACAGGGTGAGGAGTCCACTCTGCATTGCCAGGAGGTTGGTCTGGTGACTGGCGCGGGCCCAGCTGCTGCTAGAGGCCTCCCCTGGTCCTCTCCCTGGCTGCTTCCACCAGGGCAGGCGTGGAGCTCAGCACCGGCCTCTCTGGGTCCAGCACCCCCCTTCCAGCCTGGTACCAGGGAGCCCTGCTCCTTTCTCTGTGGATCATATAGGCTTTGGGGAGTCCCTTCTCCCCACGCCCCCTTGCAATCCCAACAACAGCCTCATAGGGCTGGGTTTCACTCCGTCACGGCAGAGCCCCTCTCCCCTGTGGTGGGGTCAGGCAGTGGAGGGGGTCCCACCTCCAGTGTTCTCACCCTCTGCCCTCTCCCTCCCAGGCGGAACAAGGTGCTGAACCACTTCACCATCATGCAGCAGCGGCGGCTGAAGGACCAGGATGACGAGGAGGAGGAGAAGGAGAAGAAGACCAAGAAGAAGAGCAGCGAGCTGAAGATCCACGACCTGGAGGACGACCTGGAGATGAGCTCAGACGAGAGCGAGCTGAGTGACGCCGACGGTGAGGGGCCCCTGGAGGCTGAGCCAGCCCTGCTGCCCTGGGACCACCAGCACCTCTTTCTGTTGCCCTGAGGTCACTGAGACAACCCTAGCTTGGGCCTTCAGCCCAGTGCTACCCCCTGCTGGGGGTCACAGGCGTAGAACAGCGACCCCTTTCTCACTTATTGCATGGGAGAGGTAGCCCTGTGTCCTGGCTAACAGGTGAGCTGGCTACTGCCTAGGCCTGTGTCATGAACCCCGCCAGCATCCATGTAGCTTGGGGCCCAGGCTGACCCCTGTGCCTTCGAAGCATGGTGCTACCCCTCTGAGAGCCTGCAGCCTGTCAGGAGTCCCCATATAGAACCTGGGGTCCTGGTTCTCAGCCCGTCCCTCTAATCCCACTCCCCCTCTCTTGCTGGGCCTGTGGCTGTCACCTCCACGCCAGCTCTTGCCATGACCTTGCCACTGAGTCAGCCGCTGGCTGTTTCCCATAATGCTACAGGGGAGAAGGCAGCCAAGCCCCAGAAGAAAACCCCGCTGACCAAAAAGAAGAAGAAGAAGAAGAAGGGCTCGGATGATGAGGCCTTCGAGGACAGTGACGACGGAGACTTTGAGGGGCAGGAAGTAGATTACATGTCAGACGGGTCCAGGTAAGGGTGGGGCCTTAGGGGCAGGGTCTGCTCCACCCCTCCCCACCGGAACGGGGTGCCTGGCTCAGCTCCACTCGGCTCCTTACCTGGCGCTGCCTGTGCCCATTAAGCAGCTTGTTCTGTTCCCCACCTGTCCTGGGAACGTAGATCTCTGCTGTACCCTGCACAGGTAGTCTAGGCAGAGGCAGGTTCCCTCCCCCACCCCCTCTGTGCCCGGCTGTGTCCATTCAAATTCTTCCCGTGTCTTGCAGCAGTTCGCAGGAGGAGGCAACAGTGGGGAAGCCCAAGGTGACGAAGGAAGAGGATGGTCCCAAAGGTACGTGGCAGATACGGGGCCACGGTTGGTACTACTGAGACCTGGCGGGGGCAGCCCCCGTTGGACCTCAGCGGGGCCCTTGGTGACATCGCGACTGGTTGGAAATTCTCCATCGAGGCTGCTTTCTGGTGGAGAATCAGGTGTTCAGCAATGTTCCGCAAAAAGCGTCCGTTTTCCACCCAAAAATCCGGTTGCTTTAATAGAAAACCGGCAAGTGAAATAGCTGGTTTCGGCTGTGCTGCCCCAGTGCCTTGTGGGACATGGGGCCTCTGGCCCCCGCTTCCCACCCCCATAACCTCAGCAGCACCTTGCTCCTGAACTGGCTTGGGGAGGTTGTTGGCAGGCCCAGCCAGTGCTGAGCTGTTCAGCACTTGCGCCCTTGCGGGAGGGGTTGCGGGGTAAGAAGAGGGCTGCGGGGCCCTGGGTTGGGAACGCCCAGCACGAGGGCTCGGTAAGTCGGGCAGTGGGGAGCTCGCTGCTCTGTGGGCATCGAATCCAGGAAGCCCTTTCTCTTGGAGGTTACTGTGGCTCATAGGCAGTGGGCTATGGTCCCGTGGGCCGGCCGCAAGCCGGGCTCCACCGCTGCAAAACGGCTCCTTCTTGCTCCCTGAGCCGGCTGTCGGTTGGCTGCCCAGGGATCGACGAGGCGAGCGAGAGCAGCGAGGAGAGCGAGGAGGAGAAGCCTGCCGAGGAGAAGGAGGAGGAGGAAGAAGAGAAGAAGGCCCCCACCCCTCAGGAGAAGAAGAAAAAAAAGGGTGAATGTTTTGGGGAGGGAGGGGGCTGTGCCGCGGGGGCCCAAGGGTGGCGGTCTCTGCTGCTGGGTCATCAAATGGGCACTGAGCTACACTGGGTCTCAGTGGGGATAGAGCTGGGGCGGTAACTAGGACTCTTGGGTTCTTTCTCTAACTGCCACTCGCTCACTCAAGCCCCTGGTCACTTTCCCTCCCCTCAGGTAGGGCTGGTGCTGATCCCCCATGGGGGTGTCTGGGGGAGGAGCTATGAAATCACTTTGAGATCCTTGGGGAGGTGCTATAGAAACCCCTCCTCGTTAACCCTTACAGCGCTGGTATCTACCAACCGGCCTCCTCCAAAGGGAGCTGCAGAGGGGACAGGACCCTTCCCTGTGCTGCCCCACATCCCACCCCTCAGTTGATGCTGTGTCAGCTGACCCCAGGGCAGGGGGAGTTCCCCCTCACTGCGGGGAGTGCTGTGGCTGGAACTCCTCGCCCACTTCACAGCCCAAGGCTTCTGGTTCAGGTCTCTGGCTGGCCTAGAAATAAGCTTCCTCTGGACTGAGTATGCTGAGTGAAGAGCCCTGGGGTGGCTAGAGCCAGGGGCCATGGGAGGTCGTAGAGAGAGAGAGCTCTGACCCCGAGCACCCCAGAGGGGCTCGAGATTGACAGGTGATTCGGAGGGGAGGGACTTGCTCTGACCGCGTACCATGTGTTCCAGACAGCAGTGATGAGTCGGAGACGTCAGAGGAGAGCGACATCGACAGCGAAGCGTCCTCTGCACTCTTCATGGCGGTAACCCCGACCCGCGTCCTTTGGGGGCGGGGCTGGCTGGGTTGCCCGCTTGGGGGCTCTGGATGCTTGGGGTCTTGGGAGGATCCCAAACCTTTAGCTCTTCTTTAACCAATGTCCCCATGGGTGCTCTGCGTTAGGTGTGTGTGTGTGCATCCCTGTGCCTAGGATCACAGGGTTTTGGTAGCAGCGCTGTTTGGGCCACACTTGTGCTCCCCCACTTTGCGCCCTGTGTGGCAGCTGTGTAGCTCTGTGCGGCCCAGCTGCCCTTGGCCTGAGCACTCCTAGCGAGTCTCCAAGTGCCTCGGTTCTCGTTTCGTAGCGTTTGTTACAGTTTTAGTCAGTTTCCATTTTCCCTCTTTTCCCCCCATTTCCTTGTCATTACCCCCGTAGGTTGATTCCAATCAGGGGGTTATGCCTGGATCCCCTGGATTCAAACAGTGCCTCTCCTGCCAGGAGGCCATCCCCGTTGGGGACAGGCACCCCCATTGCCTCCAGTGTTTGGGAGAGGCACACGTGCCCCAAAAGTGCACGCATTGCCTTAACCTTAAGGCTCACAGTCAGAAAGCCCGTGACCTGAAGGCAAAACCCCAAATGAAGGAGCACTCGCTGCGGCCGGCCTCAGACCCTGGTCCCGGGACCCGCCCTGGACAACAGTCACCGTCAGCACCAGCTGCTCCGTACTCCCTGCGGGCTACGAAGAGGAAATCAACAGATTCCTCGCGAAAAGACACTAAAAAGCGAGCCTCACGTCCACCCACCAAGGAGCCATGGAAAAGAAAGAGGTCCCCAGCGAGATCGGGAGCTTTGGCCCCGACAGGTATAATACTGAGCACCTATGACGCTCCTGGGACCTCCGGTATCGTCAACGCCGGTAAGTCCAAGGACCCCAAGAGGGCAAGACTGGACAAGACGACAGAGGCAAGGAAAAACCCAAAGCCTCAAAGACGGAACCGACCAGCCCCATGGCACCGGGTACTTTGGCGCCGCCTGCTGGGCGTTCAGCGGAACATAGAACAACCTTGGCGCTGACAAGACAGTCGACACTGACACAACTGCCTCCCCCGGCGCCGAAGGTGCCACACGAGTTTAGATTCCCAGAAGACGGATTAGTCTCCGAGACGCCAGAGTCTCCACCGCTCCGTACTGGGACGGCTGCAGTACACGCCAAACCGCCGGGGGCGCACGTGGCACCCGCCCGTTCACTGTCACCCTCCGGGACTGCCCCCTCCTTCTCCAGTGGAGACGAGGAGGAAAATGATGCTTATTCTGTGCCTTCGCGCAGCTGCCCTTCGCGCCGGGGTGCTGCACAACTTGACTCTTCTGCCCGCCATAGGCACCAGGAGCCCAGAGGTGGCCCAACACCCTGGTATGGACACCCATGGATGCCCCCCTTCATGCCTGTGCCCCAACAATGGCCTTGCTGGGATCTGTGGGCTGCTCACCGGCAACAGTTTTCCAGGCCATCCAATACCCAGAGGGAGAAACTGAGGCACTCCCTGTCATCTTCAGTATCCAGACCTCCCGAGCCTGAAGAAGAATCTGTCAAGGAGCAGGAGGAAAGGCTCAAGCAGGAAGCTGCGTCTGCACCCAATATACCGTCGTCCTCAGCGGCCAAAGCAGTCGTGCCTCCCCCTCCATTGTTGGCTGATGATGATTTCCGACAGCGTCAGGAGCTGTTCAGACGGATCGCAGATTCTCTCCACATCCCATTAGAGGAACCAAGAGAGTCGCGATGCATGTTTCTGGATATACTGCCCACATCAACCAAGATCGGGTTGCCTATACTTAAGGCCCTCTTAGACCCAGCTAAAGCGGTCTGGCAAACTCCAGCCACGATCCCTCCCACCTGTAAGAGGGCTGAGAAAAACTATATTGTCCCCTCAAAGGACATGGAGTTCCTATCTTCGCTGCCCACACCAAATTCAATGGTGGTCTTGGAGGTGAACGAAAGGGAGAGACTACGTCTGACCAACCCGTATGACAAAGATTGGAAGAAACTAGATTTGCTGGGCCGTAAAGCATACTCCTTGGCAGCTCTCCAATTCCGAATTGCCAATTATGAGGCGTTCATGTCAAGGTATAATCACACGAACTATTCAAAACTGAACAAATTTATTCAGTGTATCCCAGAGGACAAGAGAGAACAATTCCAGGCAATCGTGATGGAGGGACAGCTGCTGGCAAGGACGGCATTGCAAGCATCCCTAGATGCAGCAGACACAGCTGCTCGCTCCATAGCAACAGCAGCGGTCATGAGGCAAGCTTTGTGGCTACGTCTTTCGGGACTCCCAAAGTACATACAAGCGACAGTGGAGGATTTTCCCTTTGAAGGCTCCAACTTATTTGCCGACAAGACCGATGACTATTTCCACTCCATCCGGGCTGCAAGAGAGACACTGAGAGCATTACATGTCTCCACACCTGTACCAAGAAGGCGGCAGAATAGATACCATGATACCTCGAGATCTCGAACCTCTGCAGTTCCCCCACCTCAACAACACTACGACCCGGAAATGACCAATACCTCCCAAATGTAACCGCCCCCGACATGGTCAAGTGCATCTCACCAACCCACCTCACAACAGGTGTTTTGAAAATGGGATCGAGGCTCCGAGATGCCTCCTGGATCCATGTGCTGTGACCACCAGAAAACATCCGTCAGTTTGGCGACCACCTGACCCTGTTCTACCCAGTGTCACGTTGGACAAGTGGGTGTTGGAAATGGTCAGCAACGGATACTTGATGCAATTTCTCTCTCTCTCCCCCTGTCACGGAGTCTCTGGGCAATGCTCTGGAACTGCTCCCTACGAAGCCATTTAGGACTCTGTGGAAGTCTCCTTTCTGGGAGCAGCCTGTCTGCAGGACACACAGCTTCCACCTTCCTGGGTCTGACCTCGGAGCATTCAGCATCCTCTGCCCCTCCGTGCGCTTCCCACAGCGAGTCCACCCAGGCGGGGCTCCTGGGGAAGCCAGAGGGTCCTGCCCCCCAACTCCGCAGTCAGACGTGACTCTCAGCCAGCCAGTAAAACAGAGTGTCACGGAGTGTGGGGGAGTCCAGGCCCTGCACCCCTCTTCTTGGGATTCACTGAGAGACTCGCCAGCCAGTAAAACGGAAGGCTTATTGGACCACAGGAACACAGTCTCAAACAGAGCTTCTGGGTACAACCAGGACCCCTCAGTCAAGTCCTTCTGGGGGAGCAGGGAGCTTAGACCCCAGCCCTGGGGTTCCCTGCGTTCCACCCTCAGCCCCAAACTGAAACTCTCTCCAGCCCCCGCTCCTCTGGGCTTTGTCCCTTTCCCGGGCCAGGAGGTCACCGGATTTCTTTGTTCTCCAACCCTTTAGCTCTCACCTTGCAGGGGGGAAGGGCCCAGGCCATCAGTTTCCAGGAAACAGGGTGTCGGCCATTCTCTGTGTCCAGACCCCTGCACACACCTGCCCTCTAGGGCTCTGCAGTGATCATACACCCTTACCCCACCACCTAGATACTTAAGAACTGCACAGGGGAAACTGAGGCACCCCCACACTATTCAGAGGAACCATTAAGAACAGTCCCACTTCGTCACACCCCCCCCACCCCACCCCCTGGCACCTGCTGCAGGAAGAAATAATCCACTCGGGGGCTGTAGAGCCAGTTCTGATCCAACACCACAGGAGAAGCTTTTATTCCAACTATTCCCTCATGCCAAAAAAGAGCAGCGGGTGGAGACCCAGTCTAGACATGAGAACGCTCAACAAGTTCATTCGTTCAACAACGATGATTCAGCATGGTCACATTAGCAACAATAATCCCAACACTGGACCAGTGGGATTGATCTTAGCCCTCAACCTCCTAGATGCATGTTGTCACATTACCATACACCATCTCCCAGAGATTCCTCAGATTTGTTCTGGGCTTGGATCCCAGCCAGTACAAAGTACTTCCCTTTGGCCTCTGGCCCCAGGGAAGCTCCTTGCGGTGTGGTGCACCTCCGCCAACAGGCTATTCTGATATACCCATACTCGTCTAATTGCCTTCTCAAAGCCCCCCTTGAGACGACGCAGTCCTGGCTACACAGAGAACTATGAACCTTTTCTCACAACTAGGCCTTCAAATAAACACTCAAAAATCAACACTGACATCTACCGCATCTGGGGTTCATTGGGCCCTACCCTGCCGCAGTGGAGGCCAAAGCCTCCTGACCAACACACAGACTTGCCACCCTTGGCAATTTGATCTCCACAGTACCAAACCAGTCCGCAGGTATCAGCCAGAACATGTAGACAACTACCAGGGCATATGGCAGGCCACGCAGGTGTGGCTCCGGACTGTATACGTTCCGCACAGGCACAACTTAACCAAATCTCTCTCAAAGTCAGTCTTACCCGTGTGAATGGAAAAGATTCCAGACCTGGTGCGACAAAAAGCACGTTTCAGCTATAACCTCTCCCTTGTCACTGGTACTGGACTGCATCTTGGAACTAAGAAAGGCCAGGGCTGTCCTCGAGTTCAATCAGAATGCATCTTGCAGCCATCCCGGCCTTCCGCCGCAAGGTTGCCGGCCCCTCAATGTTCGCCCACTCTGTAACAAGATGGTTTCTCAGAGGAATTTGAAATCTCTACCTTGAAGTCAGAGATCCTGCTGTACCTTGGGACCTTAACCTAGTCATGCGATGCCTGACTGGACACTCCTTGGAGCCCATGATGACCTACCTGCTCGTTCATAGACTGTCTTCATTGACAGATGTTTCTCGTTACCCCATCCCAATATAATCTTCAACGATAGTTTCGTTGAGACCTCATCCGAAGTTCCTTCCTAAAATACCATCGTTGTCCTTAAACCGCATAGAACTAAACGTTCCACACACTAGATGGGTGCTTGCCTCTGACCTCGAAAGGACTAACTCTTTCGGAAAGATCGGAGATCAGCCATATCTAAACAAAGACTTTCAAAACAGGTTTCTGACTGCATTCACCTTTGCTATTGTCAACCCGATTTGCCCCTGAAGGCACTCCACACGATCGATTTCCACCTCTCTCGTTTTCCCGACCCATGTACTGATCACGGACGTTGGTAAAGCGGCGACCTGGGCGTTGGCACGCACATTCCCAGAGCATTACGCCATTGTGCGAGTCTCGACAGCAGATGCTCACTATTATTGTCCATGTGATCGTCGCTAACAAATCCAACTCTGAAGCCCTGGCCTTCCAGCGGGGGGGCACTGCTCTCCTGTCACCTAAAGTGGAGCACCCGCAGGGACACGACTCGCCCTGTGCGGTAACGGAGGTTCTTCGAGACGGGTGTCCCTGCGGGTGCTGCACTGCTCGCCCTCCTCCCTCTGCTTCAGAGTTCAGCCAGGGGCTCTGCGGTAGAGAAGGAGCTGAGGGCAGCTGGGCCGCACAGCGCTACATAGCCTCCGCACAGGGCGCGAGATGGGGCAGCACCCGTGCGGCCCAAACGGGCGCTGCTATGGAAAATCTCTGACCCTAAGCGCAGGGACGTGGCACCCGCAGGGACACGCATCTCGGAGAACAAGGTTCCTGCACAGGGTGAGTAACCTTTTCTCCCCAAGCGGCCGGCTGAGCGCTAACTTCCCTTCTGGCTTGTGTATGCCGAGCTGGGGGTGTTCTTAGCCTGGCTCCTGGGGGGATGGGGACCTGCATCTTGCTGACCACCTCCCAGCTGGAGGCCTCAGCAGAGAGCCCAAGGCCCCAATTCCCCTTTCGCCCCAGAGGGGTCCCTTCCAGGCTGGGGGCGCTGTGCTTTGCTCCTTGTGGCAGCAAAGGGCTGGTGGTTTGGTTCAGGCAGGGGGGGCTGGACTGGGGTTAGCTCCCAGACTGGGAACCTGGCGGGGGAATCCCTTCCCAGGGAGCGGAGTGGGGCACTGACCCCTCTAGCACTGCTGGACAGGCTGCCTTTTGGCTAAGACCCACCACTACAGCCTTGATCTCCCCTCCCTTTCCGGGATAAGGGGACAGTGACCCCACTGCCTTGGCCACACCCCTGTGGAACCAATTCCACTCTGACTCCCTAGCCCTCCCCTCGGTTCTTACCCGGAGCCGGGAGTCATCTCCCCTTGCGTCTGTGCCATCGCGGAGATGACATGTCAAGTGTGGAGGATGCTGGGGAAGGAGGGGTGCCCAAGCGGGTTGCAGAGGGTGCCTGGTTGTTCCTCTGCACGGCCCCCCATGCCCTGGCTTGGCTCAGGGTGTGCGGTACACTAGGAGGCATCTCGGGACGATGCCCAATGCCGGCTCCTCTTCTCACCCGACACCTAGAAGAGGAAAACTCCACCCAAGAAGGAGCGGAAGGGGTCGGCCAGCAGCTCCCGGGGGGACAGCCGCCCAGGGACGCCCCCCGTGGACCCAGGCAGCACATCCTCCACACTGCGCGCTGCAGCCAGCAAGCTGGAGCAAGGTAAGGGCTCGGGCGGGCTGGCCGCATTGGGCGCTGCTGGGGCATCAGCCTGGGGCTTCCAGGCCAGATGTTGGAACAGTCACAAACGCCAGCAGGGGGCAGCGTCCCTCTGCAGCTCACCCAGCCCTTACACCAGCTGTTGAAGGCAGGGAAGGAGGGGTCCCACGTGCAGAGGTCTGGGGAGAACCCCGTGCGGCCTGGTTCCTGACCTCGCTAGCAGGGGGGGCAGGGTGCCTGTTTGTGGGAATTGGGGACAGGGACTGGGCAGGACACTGAGCTGCTCCGTCTTGGTGTAGGGAAGCGGCAGTCGGGATCCGGTGACCTCCCAGCGGCCAAGAGGCTGAAATTGGACTCGGGACCCCAGACAACCTCGGGCAAGTCTACTCCCCAGCCACAGTCGGGCAAGTCCACCCCCAGCAGTGGGTGAGTGACCGGGGGCGGGGCCTATTGGCCAATCCCATGGGGGTGGGTGGGGCTGCTGCCATGGTTGGCTGGTGCCATCAGCTGGGAGCGGTCCCAGGGGCGGCAGATGGAAGAGCCTTTGGGGCAGGAGCCAGCACATGGGCTCTGACTGGCTTGTTTGGGGACAGAGCCGGCCCCTGTCGGCGCCCAGAGCCTCCCGGGCTATGGCCCAGCCTTCGGCACCCCCTGCTCAGGCCCCATTCTGCCCCCGCAGAGACGTGCAGCTGACGGAAGAGGCCGTGCGCCGCTACCTGACCCGCAAGCCCATGACCACCAAGGACCTGCTGAAGAAGTTCCAGACCAAGAAGACGGGGCTGAGCAGCGAGCAGACGGTGAACGTGCTAGCCCAGATCCTCAAGCGCCTCAACCCCGAGCGCAAAATGATCAACGACAAGATGCACTTCTTCCTGAAGGAGTGAGAGGTGGGGCCTGGGTAGGCCACACCCCCATCCCCTCCCCCACTCAGGCCCAGAGGGCAAAGCTCATCTTCCTTCCTGGGTTCAAAACCTTCCTGCTGTAAGGGCCTGGGCCCCCATGGCAGCTGTGGGGAGACCTGGCCCATGGGGTCCTGTTCCCCAAGGGAACTCAACCCATACCCTCCGCAGCCCAGATGTGGCCACTTCGTGGTGAGTAGGGACAAGGTGGGCTGGGGGAATGTCCCTGTTACCCCCCTGCCTGCCTTGTTTCCTGAGAGATCTCCCTCGGGCGCTCCCTGGGCCCTGCCCCCAGGGTGTCTGCACGGTGCCCTTGAGAGGGTTGATTCTGTTTCTCCCAAGGTGGGACCAGTGGCTGTCCTGCCCCCTTGTTACAATAAACGGGTGTCTCTTCGTTCCTCCGACCTGCATCAGGGATGGTTTATTGCTCGCTGAGGGCGCGTGCTGCCAGACACTCCTGCATGGGGCAGGCCCCTGCTCTGAGAGGGGTTTACGCTCGCTGCCTGCCCCACAGCGGGGATGATTCCCTCGCGCTTGGAGTCTGGCAGGGGCAGGGCCTCTGCTGCTCAGCCTGCCCTGGGGAGGAGCGGCAGGGTGCGGCCCTGTGTCCGTCTCCCCCACTGCCCCCGGAAGTGGCTGCTTTGCGGGATGCCTGAGATGCCGGGATTAATTCCCCAGCCATGGTGTGTGGTTCGGGTGAGCATTCCAGCGGCTCGCCGTCCCCCAGCTGGGGGGGACGCATGGGCACCAGCCTGGCCCAGCATCGCCACCTTTTATGGTGAAGCCGAGCGTGGAATCCAGGCCCGGGGTGACTTCATCCAACCTGGGCTGAGCCCTCGCCCTGGAGGGCCAGGCCCTGTGCATGCATCCCCCAGGGGCTGCGTGGGCCGGCTCTGCTGAGGAGCATCCTCCGCCAGCGGTGACTTCCTCCCGGGCTGACCCTAACCCTTGACCTGCTGTGCTGAGTCCCACACAGAGGCAGCCAGATTTCTGAAACCCCAGCCGCCAGCATGCCCAGCTTCTCAAAGGACACCAGCTCTCTCAGCCCACAAGGGGGAACCAACTGCAGGAGCACTTCCCGGCCACCCGCCCCCAGGGAAGCCACGTGAGATCCAGCCAACTTGTTTCACAAGTGAGTACAACTTCTACTCACTCCTGACCCATGCAGGACTTGACCTGGTGACATCTGGGCAAAACAGCCCAAGCCAGCTGCTCCTCCACGTGGACAGAACTGGGCCTAACGAGGGGGGGCATCTTCTTAAAGCCCTCCTTCTCTCCCCCCGCTCCCCCCAGGTGCAGAGTGCAAGCCGTGGCCTGCCTGAGCTGTTTTTCCAGTGGATTAAGAGCTGAGCTGATATGGAAAAGTCTCGGAGCCACCGGCCTTGATTTATCATCCCAAGAAAGAAAAATCCCCAGCCTTGCCCTGGTTGCTATTTATTATTTTTCCAATGCTCCTAAGGAAAACCTCCAGGCTTTGCCACAGGTGGGAGGCTGTGGACACACAGTTCAGGCCAGCTGAGCCTGCGGGGGCGCTGGGTGATTTATTGTCTCCTTCACCCCATCTCTGCTGGGCGAGCTCTCCCAGCCCAAGTCTCCGGCATGGGCTGCTCAGCTGTGTAACCCCACAGGTTGCATCACTGGCCAGCGGCGGGCCCTGATTAACACTTAGAGGCACCTGCCCTGGTTGATGAAGGTGGAGTGGTGGGTTCTGGCTGCCAAAGGGGCAAAAGCCCCTTGAATCAGGGCCTGTTAAGGGACTGTAGCCCTAGCCCCAAAGCCAGGTCACGCCTGAGCTGGGAAAGGCCCCATGTCCCATTCCCTGCCCCCTAGAGTCAGCCACTCTCCCTGCCCAGGGGCCGGCTGGAGCCACTGCCCTGATCTCCTTTCTTACCCACCCCGGGGCTGGATCAGAACCAATGCTGGAGCCTGGACTGCCCCTCTAGTTTCGTTTCCAGTCCACCCCCTTGCTCTGGGCGAAAGCAGAGTCTGTTCCACCAGGGGCTAGCAGGAGTCAGCTGGGCCGTGCCTCCCTCAAAGCGGAGCCATGATAAGGAGCATGAGCTTGGGCCCAGCCATCACGCTGAACCCGGGGCGCTGGCAGTTAACAGAACCCTGCCTGGTTCCTGGCCTGCGGGTGGAGGGACCCTGAGCCCATGTGGCAGGGAGCACAGCTCTGAAAGCCGGGGCCCTGTGGGGGTGGGGGCAGCAGGTGCCTTGCCAGGAAGGCAGAGAAGCAGAGGGCAGGCAGCCCTAGAGCTAAGGTGATTGCCCAGCTGGTGCTGCGGGAAGGGAGTGACCAGCCAGCCCCAGTGGGGTTGGGCCTATGGGGAAGCCAGCTGCCTCCTTGATCCCCAGCCAGCAGTGGGAGAATGGGGGGCACAGTGACTCCTGCCCCATGTACCATGGAATGGGGCCCTCCACCATAATGTCTATGACAGGTCCGGGGTGGTCAGCGTGGGGGGGGGCAGGGACGCCTGGGTTCTGTCACCAGCTCTGGGAGGAGCGTGAAGTTGAGTGGTTACAGCAGCTAGGGGGCAGGGCTGGAAGTCAGGGTCCCAATCCTGGCTCTGCCATGAGGTGCTGTGCAGCTAAGTCCCTTCCCCCTTGGTGCCTCAGTTTCCCCATTCTGTCCAATGATGCTCCTGACCAGGAGGCTGCCCCAGCCTGGACCCCTGTGCGCCCCTCCAGCTGAGCATCGTGGAGTGACATTGAGCATACTCATGTGGCCAACGCCCTCCCTGCTGCAGCCAGTTCCTGGCCCTGCTACGCTGCCGCGTAAAGGAAAACCCAGCCGTGATTTATCCCCAGGGAGTCGGGCTGCCCTTGGCGCAGCCCCTGGCATTCCTCGCATTGCTCTCGCCTTTCCCCACATGCTGCTCTCGTTAGCCCGGCCAGCTGGGGGGGGGCGCTGTGCTGGCGGGCCTCTCAGAGCTCCCTGCTAAAAATAACCCGCTGGGATGGGCCAGGAGATAACACCTGAGCCGCCTCCGTTCCTAGAGCCCAGCGGTGGGCAGAGGCAGCTGGTGTGTCTGGCTGCCAGAAGCCCCCCCCAGCCCCTTTGCCTCTGCAGCTAGTTCCCAGCCCCCCCATACTGGCAGCAGGGCTGGCTCAGGCAGGCCTCAAAGGCTGAGACCTGGCTCCTCGAAGATATTTAGGTGCCTAGCTCCCAGAATCAGGTGTCTAAATACCTTTGAGGTTGGCCACTGAGTGCCCGGGTTGGGGGGTGTTACTGAACAGCTGGGGGACTGGGGCTGGCCTTGCTCTGGAAAGGTCCTCCTCCCCTTGCCCACAGAGTATTTACTTCTTGGTGCAAGCACCCACTACAGCCCCTCCACATGGTACCCTGAGGGCCAGACTAATGGGAGTCAAATATCTCTGGCTCCCAGGTGGGAAGAGCTGAATTCTGCTTGTGGCGCTGTACAAGGTGAGGCCTGCAGATGTGTCTGTATCTAGTAGCAGTGAGTTCCACAGGCTTTTGGGCCAGCCACTGGGAACGTTCTGTCTCCCTGGAGTCAGCCTGGAGGGGAAGTCTAGTCAAAGTACAATCCCTGCATTACATAACAGAGCCTCACCCACCAGGGCTTCCTTCCCCGCCTCAACTAGCCTGTGTCTAGTATTTCAGGGGTTCAAAATGCTTTATTGTTAATGGCATCCCTAGCCGCTGGTGGGTGACAGCATCACCATTTGACAGAGGGGCAAGCACGGGCCATCTTTCCCTACGCAGTGGGGGGAAGGCTGGGCTCTGAAAACCAGAGCCCTGCGAAAGACTGAGGAGGAGGGAAGTCCCAGACTAGGAAACACTCGACCCCCACTTCCCTTTGGTGCTGGGAAGAGAACCCAGGCGTCCTGACTCCCACTCCTCCAACAACTAGCCCTCACTCCCTCCTAGAGCGAGGAAGAGAACCCAGGTGTCTGGACCACCCCCTTGGAAGTCTAGCCCATTCCCTTCCCTCTGGGGTGTTTCCACTCCTGCCATCTCCCTCCAGCCTGGCAGGGCCTGGCTTCACCACCCTGCTCGCCACTGGCACAGCCGGCGGAGGAGGGAGTGGAAGGAATGCGCTCGGCCGGCCCCAGTCCCAGACGGCGCCGAGCCCTCTCCTGTCAGCGCCGGCCCTGATTTATCCCCGGGGCCTGTGACGCTGCGTGCAATCCCCCTGCCTCGGCCCGGCGCAGGGAGATGTTCCATACACGGCAGGACTAAGCCGGGAACCAGACGGCTGCTCTTCCCCTCCGCCCCCAAATTCTTCTTCCTCCTTTGCTGACCTTTCCCTTGGCATTCCCGGAACGCAAGGACAAGTGGAAGCAGCTGAGCGCCTTCCCCGGGGAGTCCTACCTGCCCCACAGCAGTGGCATGATGGGAGATTCCCCACGGCACTGACCTACCCCGAGCCACCAGCTCACCCTGGGCTCTGTGGTAGATCTCACGCTACGCAGCATCCAGTCAGAGCTGTACTTGGAGGGGAGACCATCAAGCTGCCACCCAAGGCGCACACAGATGACAGAGGCCTGCGGCTGATAGTGAAGGGGGAACTTGTGGTAGGAAACCTCTAGGATTTACCTAGGGCCCAGCCCACGGCTCAGGGGTGTGGGGAAGCAGAGACCAGCTGAGCACACATGCTCATTAAAGGCTCCAGAACCTTCGTGTGGAGTTGGTGTCTGGCCAAAATCCTAGCTCCTCATTCCACTACAGCCCCATAATTGCCTGCTGCAGTTGCCCGCTGCCCTGCAGCGTCGCTCCACCCCAGAGCTGGGTGAGTGACCCAGACAGACCTTTGGGTTTAATGACACCTCCCTTGTTTGACTACTTGGGTCAAACAAGAATCCTAGAAACAAAGAGCTGGACGGGACCTCGAGAAGTCCAGCCCCCGGCACTGAGGCAGGACTGTGTAAACCTAGACCATCCCTGACAGGTGTCCATTCAACCTGTTCTTGAAATCCTCCAATGCCGGGGATCCTGCAGCCTCTGGAGCTTCGCGGAGTGTTAGAAAGGTAACCGAAATCTCCCTTGATAGGAGAAGGAACTTTAACTCCAGAGGTATTTAAGCTCTGGAGTAGGCATCCAAGCTGCTGTCTAACGGCTGTGGGAACCCCAAGGGGTAATGGGGTGTGAGGGCCAAGCCTGGGGCAGAGGATGGCAAAGGAAATTGGGCTGAGGCAGGAAGGGTTAGAGGCTGTGGTATCGGGGAGCCCCATGCAGGCCGCAGCGTAGGGGATGGGGCAGGTGACATAAGGGGGATTTTCTCTCTGGTTCATCCCTGGGCTGTGCTGGTGGGAGGCAGGAAGTTGGGGAGACAGAAGCATGGATGATGCAGATGGGAAAGCCCTCTAGCCCCTGCTCCCCAGTTTATGGAAGAAGCATCCGAGTAGAACAGGGCACGGGCTCCTCCCGAAGCGCACAGCTCTGGGGAGGTGACCTGCCCTCCACCTGGTCTAGCAGGGGCGGAGTCTGTGCCACACGCAGCCGGCAGGCTGGCCACAAGCCGCCCAGGGCAGCCTTCTTCTAGCTTGGGATCAGAGGCCACATAGTGGCCTGTCCTGAAAAATAGGCCCCTTCTGACCTCTGGCTACCAGTTACCCCAACGCCCCACAGGCTGCCTGGATGTGGAGAGCTAAATCGGGCACCCCCACCTCCTAGGGCCAAAGGGGTTTGGGTGCATAGCAGGGGCTGCTGCCCATCTCTTCCTCTCCTCTTTATCTAGCCCAGGAAGCTGAGGGCCTGATCCTGCCAGCACCCTCCAGGGGAACCGCAGTGACTACAGGACTGGGTCAGAGGCCTTCCAGGGCCTGCCCCGAATCAGGGAGAGATGGGGGAGAAGGCAAAGTGCTCATGGGAGGAATTCTGGCTGGGGGAGGGTGAAGTGAACCTGATGCCCTGCACTGCCTCCTCTGGGCCTACAACTGGAGGGTTGTCTGTGGCAACTGCCCCCTGAGCTGCATTGTGGGAAAGGGGGAAGTTCAAGCCAGCTGAGCATTGCTGCCTCGCAGAGCCAGGAGAGGGAAACCTGCCTGATCTCCAGCGTGGAACCAAGTCAAGCCCAGTAAATCCCGGCTCCATCCCATCCACCAGGGCCAGGAGTCCCCCCTTTCCGGCCGTCTCGCCAGACAGACACAGGCCTGGGCAGCCCGTCCGGCCAGGCGCACTCATGCTCTACTAACAGTCTGTTACCAGCCGGCTCAACGTGTTACCCTAGCCCACCCCTGCCGCGACCCTATAATTTATGTACAATCCCCCTTCCATCTCCCCCCGCTCTCCCCCAAAGGTATTTGCACAGCAGATCTGGGTGTAATCAAGTCCAGGAATTTCCATTCAAGTATCCTGGGCTTTTTTTTTTTTTCCCCAAGATTTTCAGTTAACTCTTTCAGAGGGGGAGAGAACGAGGATTTAACCCCATCCCAGCTCCCCAAACCCCACCGCTCTAACGTCGCTTTCAGTCAAACAACCTGGGGCCGGGGTGACGTGAGCGGGCGCAATGTACCGCCTTGGAGTGCAGTTCGCGGCTGGCCAGCTCGGCCGCGAGCATCCTACCGTCCAGAGTCAAAGACTCTACCCCGACTGCAAAAGAGAGACCGGATCGAATGCAGGGTCAAGACACCAACGCTAGAGACTCCGCTGGGAACGAGTCTCCTTCCAGCCCCCCTGAACCCGCCCTGCATTTGGCCCAGCATGGAATGTTTCAAGGATTACGAAGAGTTAACGCCTGCCCTGCCAACCCCCCAGGCCATCCCAAGGAGGATATAAATTAGAGATGAGCCACCTTCCTTTCAGAAGCCAACCCGGCTTAATTGGGGAAGGATGGATTCATCCCAGCTCCTCTGCAGCATCTCGTTCATCCTCCTGGTCAGACCCGCTGTCTCCCAGCCACTGGAAGACAAGAGGCCCATGCTGATGGAAGAGCAAGAGCCGGGTACCAGCATCAGGGACCTGCTCTGGGCACTCCTAGGTATGAGACACTTTCAGTGCTGTTCCCAGGCAGGGCAGTGCCAGGGTGGCGGGGGCATGTTCCCATTTTGTACGGTTATTTCCCCAACCCCAGCGATTTCTGGGCTAAGGGTAACTGACCTCAAGCTTTATCCTCACAAATGCCTGGGAGGCAAGGCAGTGCTATGATCCCCCTTGCACACATGAGGAAACTGAGGCACGGGGAGGCTAAGGTCACACAGGGAATCTGTGGTGGAGCCCGGAATTGCACCTGGATCTTAGTGCCCTAACGACGGAGTGCACTCTCTATGCTCACAAGGTAGAGTGGACAGCAGAGGGATGAATTTTCCAGCTGGCAGGGAGAAGAGTTCAGTTCAGTCCTCGGGGCCACTCAATCCTTGCTAAGAGGCTAGCTAGTGGCACGGCAGGGGAGGGTATATGTACATAAAATTACTGGATTAGAGCGGGCGATTCTGCTCTCTAACCCCAGCCATCGGACCGGCAGACCGAGAGCAGAGCAGCAGAAAGACATGCACACGCTAGATGTGCAGTATCAGCTGGTAGAGACGAGGGAAATTACCGCTATAAATCTAGGCGGCTGCACGCTCTAGGCACTCAGATACTGCAAGGGCTGAGCATGGAATAAATGTCTGGGTAGATCTGTGTGTGTGTGGGGGGGGGGGAGGGGTAAACCCATCCCTCAGTTCACTGTCAATGGCATCACTCAATTAGCTGTACAAAGTCCATCGATCCTCATGCTTCAGGGCTTGAGGTGAGCAACAACAGAGGGGTCAGGAAGGTACTGCTTCCCCCTCCACCGCCCTAGTCCAATTATTAAATGACCAGCCACTGGGGATTTAGTTTCTTCCTCTGAAGCATCTAGTACAGGTCATGGCTGGAGTCAAGAGGCCAAACGGGATGGGCCATTGCCCAGATTGGATGCAGCAGGGCTACAGGACGATAGGACCCACTGGTGTGAACAAACGAGGGGGGATATGAGACCAGACCCAACAGGGGAGGGTATGGGACCCTCTAGTTTAGTCTGATACAGCACAGGGGGGATATTGAGCTAGTAGCGTGGGTACAACACATCCTGTCTTCCCCTCCTAACAATACAAAACCTCTGACTTCTCCAGCTGTGTCCACCGCAGGATCGCTGCGTGGAGGATCGGAGTAGCCTCCTGTAGAATCACTGGGATCCCCAATGGTTTGAGTCGCTTAAAACTTGACAGTGCAAAAAGCTCAGCATCGCTTCTCACTTTTAAACGATCCCATTGATGGGGCTTCTGCCAGCCTCTCTAGCCCCAGAGCCAGCCGTCCCGAAAGCCATCCGAGGTCACCCTTGCTCCTGCACCCCGGGACTCTCCTTGTCCCTTCACAGTGGCTATTCAGCTACACCCTGTCACCCAGGAGCCTTCGCCTCTCAGTCCCTGCAGCCTCTGGATTGCTGCTGCTGCTGCTTTCCTCTGAGCTCCCTGCAAAGCGTCTCCACCTCCCTGGTGCCGAGTTTGTCCTTGGTTCAGAAGCACAATTGGCAGACAGGATTCTCCCCTCTTTGCCCAGTGGTGGCAGATCACCACAGGGGCAGTCTGGGCCATACAGGGGTTCCCTCTTCCCTGCTCAAGGAGGTAGTGGGTGGGATTCCGGGCCTGGGCTGTGCCTTCAGCACCCCTCCCCAGTTTGGCGTGATCTGTCTCTCTCTGTTTCAGAGACGCACATGCCAAAGGGACCTTCCCTGCACGTCCCGGACAACCCTAGAAACCTGCTGCCCTACGCCTCCCCCAAGCCGGCCAAGAGCCGTCAGAAACGCTTGTGGGAGCAGCCAGAGGAGCAGGAGTGCCGGCTGCGGAGCTTGCTGCTGCGCGTCAGGGACCTGGGCCTGGGCTACGACTCCGAGGAGACCATCCTGTTCAAGTATTGCAGTGGGAGCTGCCCCAAGGCCCGCACCAACCACGACCTGACGCTCTCCGTGCTGCTCCAGAAGAGCGAGATCCCGGCCCTGGGCGAGGAGAAGATCGTTGGCGACCCCTGCTGCCGGCCAACACACTACGAGGACGTGGCCTTCCTGGACAACAGCCACCAGTGGCATGAGGTGGAGAAGCTCTCTGCTTCTGCCTGCTCCTGCGTGGGCTGATGTCGCTGGCGGGAGGGTGCGTCAGCAGGGTGGGTGTAGTGCCGATGTTAAAGCAGTCAGTGTTTCTTCCTCCCACACCCTTGAACCCGTAGCCTGAGAGAAGCCCAAACTCCATGCCACAGATCCCACAGGACGGGGGCCGGGACTTTTGCCCTCCCTCTAGGGGTGGGAGAAGGGAACTGCTATCAAAACAACAATGGCATTCACTTCACACCACCCCCTCCTTCCAACCCCATCCTGTTTCTTTGCATTACTGAGATGCTAGCTTGTTTGCTAAGGCCTGGAACTTCAAAGGCATTTAGGCTCCTAACTTCCACTGAAAACAATGGGAGTTAGGAGCCTAAATACCTTGGAGGCTCTGAGCCCAAGATCCTGCCTGGAGGAGGTGTGCATGGCTCATGTACACACAGGTGCAGGGGGAGAGCTGGACGATAAGAGATATTTATGGATTCCTAAGTTATTTATTTATTTGGTTTCTTCCACTAAGGGCAGGGCGGGCTAGGGATCTCATTCCCGCTGCCTCCCTACCTGAGCTTCTTAGAGTCCCTTTTTAATTTATTTGCTTCTTTCCGCTAGTAGAGAGTCGGGATTGTGTTTGTTTGCTCGTTTTCAGGCATGTCTTGGGAACAGCTGAAATGTACGGTGGTTTCAAACTAATAAAAGCCGTGAAACTGATCAAAAGACGTGTGGCTATTTTGTGGTACAGATGGGAAAGGATTACTTCCTTCGAGCTAGCCCAGGGTCGTCCCTTAGGCAGACCACAATGCGGCCCTGTTTGCAGCTGGCCTTTAGGAACTACTAGAACAAAAATGATTAATAATAACTTTAAAAAAGATAGGTTAAAATAAATTATTTTTAATGAGGGAAATTCACCAAAATTCACCAGCGCCAGCGGTTCTCTTTAAAAACCAACAGAAGCAGCACACTTCTGTCTGAATTCTATTTACCTGCTGTTGTTAAAGTCACCCCATGCCCCGTCACAAAGATCACAGGGGAGATATTTCTATTTTAGATTTTACTTGTTGGGTTTAACACGGCCTATGCAATCAAGCCAGCTTCCCTTGCCCCGTGGGTAGCCAATACGGTGCATTAAATCATTTGTTAATGGCACTGCTGATGACACAGTAGGTACCTGGGTGGTTGTTGAGGGTACACACATCCACAGGCTCCTCCATGGCTGCGTGTTGACAGGAGAAGTCCCCTGGCTTAGTCTTGGCTACAAACCTCCATGGAGTGAAAGCGTCAACCAGATCAACTGAAAACAGTCAGCTCTGCTCCAGCCCGGAGAGGGGAGGAAGGCTGGTTTCCAATCCCACAGCTCCACTCGTGGCTCTAGCTTGGGGCTGGTGGCACTGGCAGGTTCCTGCAGATGACAGAAATCCTCCTCTCTCGCGGGATCTTCTGGCCATCAAAAAAGGACTCCTCGTCTTTGAGGATCTCGTGGGTGAACTCGTAGCGAGCTGGGCCCCTGTGAAAGGAGGGAAGAGAGGAAATCTGGCTCAGCCCAAGAGCCACTGGCCTCTATGACTCTATAACATATGACTAGGGAGACCCAACTTCAATTCCATGCACTACCACAGGCAAGTCACTTAGTCTTTGTGCCTCAGTTTCCACAGCAGTACACTGGGTGTAAAAGCCCTGCTCTGTTCCACAGGGGGTTGTGAGAATAAATACAGTCCTCAGATACTATGGGGATGGACCAAAAATGGGCCTTAGGTAGAACCTCTAAGGGTGAGTCCAGTGTCCACGGCACATTCAGTCCTCGGCCTCTGCGCTGAGACTGAAATCAGGATGCCCAGTCTCCAGCCCCAGCTGCCACTAAGGGAGGCATTGAGGCCTAGTGGGTAGAGACTGGGAGTCAGGAGACGTAGGGTCTGTTTCTGGCTCTGCCACTGGCCCGCGGGGTGACCTTGGGTACGTCACTTTTCTGCTCTGTGCCTCAGTTTCCCCATCTGTAAAACAGGGATAATTATACTGACCTCCTTGGTAAAGCCCTCTGAGATGTGCTGCTGGTAAGAGCTATTCAGGACCTAGGGATTATTAACGTTCCTCCCTCCCCCACCCCTCCAAAACTAACTCCTCTCAGAAATCACCTCCTCTGGCACCTCTCACAAAGTTGACAGCAGAGACAAAGCGCCGTCATGTCTAGGGCTCGCCACACCCCCACCTGATGGGCCACGTTACCTGAGGATGTACAGAGAACGGCGCGGCAGCAACAGGTCCATCCAGTCCTCTGGGTTCTGTTCGCTGACCAGCCGCATCACACTGGAGGACAGCAAGGACAGCCCCGCAATCGTGCAGCCGCAAAACTAATGCGAGGAAGAAAAGTAACGATAAAAGCCAGTAATGCAGCCAGGCATTTCTATCCCATTGTTCATCCTAGCCCTTTGGAACCCAGCACGGAGGTCTCCCACCCAGCGATCGCGACCACCTCTGGGGTGGCACGCTGCAGCTGCTTACCAGCGCACAGCAACACATGGCAATTTTAGGACAGGGAGTGAAGAATCACATATCCAAAATGAAACTGCAGGGAAATTTAGGAAGAGCCAACTATTGACCTAAATTGGAATTAGGCCAGGATGTGGGGATACCCCCTCGCATTGAAAAAAAAAAAAAAAAACCCTGGGATCATCACTGCTAAAGTAGTCCTGCCTTTCTTTTTATTCTTCACCCAAAAGAGCAACCCATGATATCATGCTGGCACCACGCTGGGGCACTAGCTCAGAGCAGAGAGTGCCTGCCCCCTAGCCTGCTGAGCCACCCACCCCGATCCCTACAGAATAAAGGTTTTGCTTCCCAGCGCTGACTTGACCGTACGCAGCTCAGGATGAGCAATGAAGCCCGAGGTGCTCTGGCTGAAGGATAAAACCAAATGTCTCTGTTCTCTCTATCCCCACCCAGCCCCTTCGATCCTCCAGCCTCAGCTCCCTCCAACCAGATCGCATCTGAGCCCTGCAGCTTCACCTTGACACTGTCTATGTGAGGTTTGATGTAGCCGCTTTTATCCAGGTCAAGGACGTGGACTAGCGAGAGCGGAGACATTGCTGGCGGGAAGGCCGTACCCCGGACCCGCTGCAAGATTTCCTGGCTCTCCTCGCTCCACTGGGCTATCTCTGTTTCCCGGAAGCCATGAATAGCCTGGATGAGAGAACACCATGGTAACGAATTGGAGCGTCTCCGCTTTGTCCTGTGCCCAGGTAAGCCCAACCCCCGACTGACAGAGGGATGCTCCTCTGGGGGATGATTCCCTGTGCCCATCTTTATCCAAGACACCCCACACCGCACCTGGGGCCAATCTGAGCCGTATCAACCCACTCCTGCATTGGCTCCCATGACCTCCCTTCAGCACCCCCCATCCCTATGGTAGGGAATTCGCTCTGTTCCCCACTTCTCCTATGCCCAGCGAGCCAACATCCACCCTTCACATGCCCAACCCTTCAGGACACCTCAATAACTGGGTGGCCGGCTGCTAGCCAGCCACTCGCCTGTAAGGCCCACCAGCTGCCTGCCCCCTGCGCCCATCCCCCAAGACACCCTCCCCCCAGAGGAGCCATTCCCACCCCATAACCAGCTTGCTTCCCTTTTTCCACCAGGAGCCTCCTCTCCCCTGCCCCCAAGAAGCACATGCTCGACTTAGACCCGCTAAGACCACAGAAGTCAAGGAGAACCCCCTGGATACCCAGGCTGAGCCCCCACAAAAGGGCAGCTCAGCCCCCATAAGCTCCTATGGAGCCCAGCTTAGCCCCAATAACTGCAGCCCCCCAAGTTTCCCTGTTCAGAGCACATAGCGCTGCTCAGGCATCCAGAACCCAGCTTAAAACAATCGAGGGACCCCCCAAAATCCGCTTCGTCCCGCATCTCCCCAATAACGCCCAATGGCTGCTAACTCAGACCTGACACCTGCTAGCTCCCTCCCCCCACCCCGGGGAGCCCCGCCCCCCATGTTCCCTCCCCAACTAACCCCCCCCCCGCCAATACTGAGCTCACTTCACAACCTGCCCCCTCCCCAAACATTCAGCTCCTCCCAGCTGCCCTCCTGCAGCTCAGCTCCCTGCCCACCACAGACCCGCCCAGTTCTCCCCATTGCCAGCCCCCCAGGCCGCCCCGCCCCCCGCCAAGCGCCCCGCCCCCCCCTCCCGCGGCCGCCCCGCCCCCCGCCAAGCGCCCCGCCCCCTCCCGGCGGCCGCCCCGCCCCCCGCCAAGCGCCCCGCCCCCTCCCGCGGCTGCCCCGCCCCCCGCCAAGCGCCCCGCCCCCTCCCGGCGGCTGCCCCGCCAAGCGCCCCGCCCCCTCCCGGCGGCTGCCCCGCCCCCCGCCAAGCGCCCCGCCCCCTCCCGCGGCCGCCCCGCCCCCCGGCTCACCCCGTCCCAGTGGTCGAACTGGTAGCGGCGGCGGCGCAGCTGCGGCTCCAGCTCGCGGCCCAGCGCCGCCTCCTCGGGGCCGCTGAGGAAGCCGGGCCGCACCCCCGCCTGGCCCCGCAGCCGCCGCGCCACGCCCGGCCCCGAGGCCCGCACCAGCGCCGGGGCCTCCCCGCACAGGGCCCGCCGGGGCCAGGCGGCCGCAGCGCGGCGCAGGGGGCCAGGCCCGGGCGGGGGCAGGCGGGCCGCGGCGCGGTGCATTGTGGGCGGGGCCTGGCGGAAGGAAGAAAAATGGGCGACGCCCGGGGCATTGTGGGAAGTAGGGGCCTGGCCCTCGCTCTCCGCCCCCCCCAGTGCATTGTGGGAAGGAGCGACATGGGCGTCCCTGACCCTCTCCCCCGGTGCATTGTGGGAAAGAGCGACATGGGCGTCCCTGACCCTCTCCCCCGGTGCATTGTGGGAAAGAGCGACATGGGCGTCCCTGACCCTCCCCCCGGTGCATTGTGGGAAAGAGCGACATGGGCATTTTTGACTCTCCCCCCGGTGCATTGTGGGAAGGAGCGACATGGGCGTCCCCGACCCTCCCCCCGATGCATTGTGGGAAAGAGCGACATGGGCGTCCCCGACCCTCCCCCCGATGCATTGTGGGAAGGAGCGACATGAGCGTCCCTGACCCTCTCACCCAGTGCATTGTGGGAAAGAGCGATATGGGCGTCCCCCGCAGTGCATTGTGGGAAGGATTAAGTGACTTGACAACTGCCCCAGTGCATTCTGGGACCGAGGGACAGCCATGGGCAGCCGCCCCCGTGCATGATGGGAAGCAGAGACCGGGCCAGGAAGAAGGGGCATCAGTCCCTGTGTCCAGAGGTGCAGGACTTTGGCCATCCCTGGCTCAGTGCCGAGAAGCAAGGGCCGCCCTGCTCCATGCAAACTCCTTGGGCAGCTCCAGCCAGGAGACGGCTTCTCCCCCCCCGCAGAAATTTACCCACATTGGCCTGGCAAGGCTGGAGCTTGCTTTTGCCCTCACCCCTGCCGCCGCCGTCTGGCCCAGCAGACCCCGTCGCTGTCACCCAATTTTAAAAGACAAAAACATTACATTTAAATGTCTCTTTATTATAATAAATATAAAAGTAGCTAAGAAGCCCCCAGCACCAGGACACAGAATAGCAACACCCAGGGGAGGGGGATAACATTTTGGATGAGGCAGCAGCAGAAGGGAAAGCCCTTCTCCATTCTCCAAGGCAAGTTTTTTTACATTCACAATCCCTGGGTCGGGTGGGGGAGTTTGCTAGCACCCAGCCTTGAGGAGGTTTCAGTGGAGAAAG